CCAAAATAGCACAGTCAAATATATTACATAATAGAATTCATTCCCCATGATAAATGGTCAACAGAGAAGGTATATGACTCCGCAACTCATGTCCATAAACCAAGCATCAAAAACAAAGCACAAACCATAAACATAGGTCATCATCAGCTTAGATATCCTCATATCCTTATATCCTTGTTACGTAGCATGTCACTTAGCCTGGATGTCTCGATTTCTAGGCTTCTCATTCACATAGACAAGACTTTTTACATGCACCCTATGCCCCACCAACAGGTTCAAAACTAGAATTAGAAGTTCAAATCCCAGACATCCAGCTTCGGAAAACCAGACCTTGGAACATGCTAGTTTGAGGTGGTTTGGAAAAAGTTATCTGTATGAACAAGTGTTTGCGCATACAGAATTTGTTGCAAACACGATTCTTGCCACGTGAATCACATCCAAATACTGCGCGAGCAGAAGACTTAATTGTCCCTTAAATTACTGCCACGTGAATGTTTTTTGTTTTAACCAAAGAAACATTAAATAAGAAATCAAGACTAATGATAAAAACAAGATAACACCAGGAGACGAGAGAATACATCAACCAAAGTACAAAAATGCAACCAAAGATTCCTAGTACCATCAAAGTTAAAGCGCCTTCAACAAAAGATTATAAGCTAATCATAAATCCACCATGCAAAATATTTGATAATACCAAAGGAAATTCGTACTTAAAATAGACGAAATAGATGAAGAAAGCCAAAGAAAAACTCCTAAAATCAACCTTACCAAATGAAACATAGCAAAATAATTTTAAACTTGCATATAAAACTGGAGACTCAAAATTTAACAAAGAAAAAATACGAAATACTAACCTTGGTTAGCCTTGGGTTACTTTCAAGCACACGTTTCAGACCGTCATCAGTAATTCGTGGGCACTCCACCAGGCTCAAGCACTGCAGGTTCCCTTCGGCCCGCTTAGTTAATTGCAAAAGAATATCATCTGTTATCTTCTCGTTCAGTGGTTGCTCAATGTGAATATTTCTCCACAGCAGGGGGTCACCTTGGACAGTAGATCGTAGAGATCTGCAAACATTTTCAACAACAAGGAGATCCCGAACACCCAGACAACCAACAGCAAATGTCAAAGCTGCATGGGGAGCCCCTCCATCTCCATCAGGACAAATCCCATTCTTAGGCCCATTTCTTATACAGTCAATTTCCATAGTCTCTTTTCCAAAAATCAAAATATCATCCACATCACAACCTGATCTGAAGGCATCATGACAAGATTCATCTGTTATCTTTTTCTCAGAACAACCACCAAACCCACTCACCACACCAGATTTGTGATTAAATCCCAAGTTTGCGGGGAACGTCTGAAACTTCATTGCATTGCTCCAGATAAAATTCAAGCCAGCAAATAACTGATAATTACCATCATCAGTCCCAACCTCATCCATTCCATACCCACCATAATCGACCTCCAAATCCTCAAGCCAACCAGTAATGGCTGTAAAAGTACTACTATATCCATGCCAAAAGGGATCAGATGGCAAAAGATCAAGAATATCTTTAGAAACTGATTCTTGAGAGCCGCACCTATCACCCCTATCTCTT